GATTGGAAAAGTCCATACACTGTAGTCCTCAATACTCCAACTGCTATCAAAGTAGCCAAAAAGCCTGCCTGGATTCATCATTCCCATTTCAAGCAGGTCCCGGCTTCCAAAGGTGATCACCCTACAGATAAGTGGACTATTGTTCCCTCCAAGGACCTTTTAAAGCTTAAGATTGCCAAATGTAACTAATGATCTTGGGGTTCTCCCTTATGGAGACCCCAAAGAGGCCTCTGTCTGGTTTTTTAAAAAAAATTGTTACTTGTATGACAGAACAGAGTAAATTTAAATGTTGGTTTTCTTTCTCCTTTTGGTTAACAGTTTTAATAATGGCAGCTGCAAGACCTTTGCTAATCCTCCTATTGGGCCTTGCATTGTAAACAAGTTAATAAGTTATGTTAAATATCAGGTTCAAACTATAAACGCTTAGGATTTTAAGGACACAAGATTATAAACAGATACCTATGTCTGAAAACCTCATGAGCCAATGATTTGGATCACTGACTAAAATCAGTGGGGAATGCTGTACACTAGCAAAGGAGTTTCGTTATATTTGTATTATACCAAAATACCTATAATGTGGCCATACTGTTCTGTATGCATTTTTCCCCCCTCTGGGTGACCTAATTGATATGTTAATCAATGCTCTCCTCTATAAAGAATTATAAATCCCTAAAAACCTACCCTAATTGATATAACTATTATTGCCCTCTACAAATAACACATGTGGTGCGAAAACAAGCTAACAAAGGATTGTTAATTACTGTTAGACTTCTCTGTTCTCTGCTAAGGAAAACAAAGGTCTTCCTCATTAGCAGATTTCCTGGTCCACGCCCATAACCCTTTACTTTGTAAACTGTGATATGTACATAAAGGCTGCAAGGATAGAGAAACAACACACAGCTTTTGCAACTTCAACTGCACTATATCACTGGACCCAGGATGAAATAAATCAGTGCTGCTTTTTTAAAATATGTTTTTGCCTCATTTTTTGAACTCAAGTTTGGGGGCTCATTTGTGGATTACAAGAAGGACTCATGCCAGTCTGTTTTAGGAATCTGAGCTGGGAAGTCCCAAAGTCAATGGTGGAAAGAAACTATGCCAGTGGGGTGAAGGAGCTGTGCTGGTAGGTTGAGGGTTTTAAATTGCTGCCAAGAAGTCACCCTCATAATAAAAACCAGGCTGTCCTGAATATCACCACAGCCAATCCTCAGGGACACAGAGGCCCCAAGCTCCTCCGATGATACGAATAGTCGAGTGCATGCCAGAAAGCCAGCATGATGAGTTTGTCCTGGAGATTAAATGGCACACGTCTTCCTCTCTGGAGCCAGGAAGTGATGCTTGATGTAAGGACCAGAGCTCTCCCAAAGTGAATCACAGCCACTCTCACCAACAAGGTCCTGAGCTCCTCTGATGACAATGGTGGAACTCACATTGAGGAAGCTCGTCATGACGAGCCCCTCCAGGAGAACCAATGGCTCAAACAGCAACATGTGGGAGAACCCATAAGGTCTCCCTTCTCCTTCTCCAGGTTTCTATTTATGCTGGCAGCTTTCCTCAGGTGAAACATCTATGCTCAGCACCATAGTGATGAAATTTCGCTGGTATTAAGATGACCTCCAGTTTTTAGTCTATAACAAGGGCCCAGCCCTGTCTGACTGCCTATAATATTTCTACCTAACTCAGTTGCCTGTAACATTGCCAGCTCCCAAGACTAGAAAAGAAAGCTGTTTTCACGCTAACAGGAATTGTACCTCCTAGTCATTAATAGGAATTCTCTTCTCTCCCTTCAGGGCTGCCACATCGCTAAGTTTTAGGGGAGATGGCTATTTCTTCTCAACTTAAAATAGCTTCTTTTGGAGCTCTTATGCCAGTGTCTCTGTTTTGACACCCAGAATCACCTAGAAACTTACTTAGAAATGCATTTTTTCAGGGTGAATATCCACGTAGGACTAAGACCTGTAGAGAAAGAGCCATGCATGGTGGAGCAATGACTATAATACCAGTACTTGGGAGGCTGAGGCAGGAGGATCCCTGTGAGTTCGACATTAGTCTGGGCTAGTGAGTTCAATAGCAGGCTGTACTACACAGCAAGATTCTGCCTCAGGAAAAAAAAAAAAAAGAACCTGTAGGGGAGGATTGGGGCACTGAGCAGCCCAAATAACCCTACCTCCAGATGACTTTGACACTGAGGACCCCCTGATTCATTCATTAAAAACCTTACAGTTTAACTCATTCTTCTGGACTCTGCCCTGTCCCTCTCTCTGGGTACTAGGGCTTGAACATTCCCAGCCCTTTTTAATTAGAGACAGGATTTCACTAAATTGCCCAGGCTCAAATCTGTGATCCTCCTGCCTCAGCCTCCCAGAGTGCTGGGATTTAGGATTTGTTGATTTAGGACGAGGTGAGGGGTGAGTAGGGGGTAGCGAGAGGGGGAAATCATCACTTTTTCACTCAGCCCTGCAGCTCCATGGATATGTGGGACTTAATCAGAAAGCTTTTCCCTGAGTTTAGAATTCCTAGAGTTTAGGTGAGATCCTCTGGCAACCAAAGGAAAGAATACAGGGATGTGTGGGGGCGGAGGGGAGTTGAATCCCAGGCTTTTGTACCAAACCACATCCCTTCCCTTCCTTTTTATGTTTTATTCAAGGACAGGGTCTTGCTGAATTATCTAAGCTGGTCTCAAACTCACCGTCTTTCTGCCTCAGCCTCCCAGAATGCTGGCCAGGCTCCTGCATTTCCTGAGCGCTATGCTTTCAGGGACACATCTTCCCACTCAGTCCACAGTCTGCCAACTCCATGCACAGGCAAAATTAACCTGCTTCCCTGCTGCTCACTCCCCAGAGCACGGCCCCCACCTCTGGGTTAACTTACAGCTAATTGTTTGTTGTAGTCTTTTCCCAGAGGGCTGATCGATGTTTTCTTTAGCTCTGTGTCTCTTCTGCTCTAATTAGAGTTCCCGCGGGTGGCTGGGAAGTCAGTCCTGTTCCTAAGAGATTTCTGACCTGTGACTTGGCCTTGCCAGCCAGCCAGAACTTTTCACAGTTTTGTTTTTTCCCCACCATCTTCCAAGAGTTTTGTTATCACCACCAAAGTTGTGTATTAAGCTGCAGAGCTGAGTAATCTCTCCTTTTGCATGAAGGCCATCAAAACCCCTTGGATACTCTGGCTTTCTGATGCTGTGAATGCGGGAAGAGGTTTAAAGTTTAAGGTGTCTTTTCCTGGTTCCTAGAGCAGCATGTGGGAGAGCCACCAGTTGTCTTCAGTGTCTGCCATTGCCAACCCATGGTCCACGCTGCTGCCAGGCCTTGATTTCTTATTCTGCTTCCTTTTGTGTGAAGGTCAACTTGCAGCCTACTGTGGCTTCCAAGCAAGGCCTCTTCAATACTTCCGGAACTCTACCTGCAAAATACCCTTTGGGTTCCAACCACACAGAACAACCTGCCACTCTGAACAGGAATCCCTACCCAAGCTTGGACTCCGGTGTCCCTTCTGCTTACAGTGCCATCTGGCCCTCCTCGGTCTCTCGAAATCCCCTCAACCTCTCAAACTCACACTGAGTGCCAAGTACAGGTTTAACACTTGGCTCCACCATCTGCTGTGTACAAGAAAAGCATTGGGTTCATCTTCAAAAGGAGGATTCAGAGGAAGTCTTTAAAAAGGGAAAATCAAACCCTCAGGCAATTATTCACATCTTCCAACTCAGACCTCCACTCCTACCACTCTCCCCTCCCTCCTCACCCAACCCAGGAGCACAGGGTAATTTACTAGAGGTGAGAGTTATGCTTATGATGACACTGGTTAGACTAGGTGGTCCTAGAGGTCAAAGGGCTGCCCTAGGGGTCAAAGGGCTTCCTTAGGGGTCAAAGTGATGTCTTGTCATGCAAGGAACACTGAGTGAGAGGTGACATATCTCCTTCTCTTTCATAGTCTAGTCCTTTGTCTCAGAGCTCAAAATGATCTAAACTTGAGCCAGAGCTGTGAGACCTTAAGCACAGTTTTTATTTTATAATTTACAAAGGAAGAATGGCCATTCCTATAATCCTATATCCTTAATCCTGGGTTGATTAAGCACACGCCTGTGGGTGGAACTGTTGGTGTGAACCCTCCCAGCCTAGCAAGGACTGCCCAGGTAAATGTAGGAGGGCCAGTTCTTTGGGTTAGAAGTCTGGGGAACTGTGATCCAATTGTCCCACTGGCCCAGGGCCACAAGGTGACTTTCATGGGTCCTTGGCACTTTTGCTTCTGTGGATCCCTTTTTCCATAAGATAATAGCTTGTAGTCCCAGCATCTTGGGAGACTGAGGCAAGAGGATTACAATTTTGAGCCCAACTTGGGCAAATTAGCAAAGGGAAAGTCTACTCCGCACCCACCTCTGCGTCTCTAGGTCCCCAGGTTCCCTTGCTAGATCCTTTCCCGTGTATTCGGGTCTCTGCCAACTTCCCTCTCCTAGGCGCCTCTCCTCGGCGGCCTTCCCTTTTCATCCCGCAGAGCAGAGGCTGGGGAGGCCAGAGCCTGTGCCACGATTCTCCACCGAGCCCAGTCCCAGGTCCCCTCCAGCCGCTCTCCCAGTGAGACCTGAGGTCCCCTCCAGCCGCTCTCCCAGTCCACACCCTCTTTCCCTGAGCTGCACCCTGCCCCCAGGCTTTACGGTGGCCGCGGTGTGCCCCCGGGCGACTAGGTGTAGGGCTGAAGTTCAGAGGGGCTGAACCGCCTTCGACACCCAGCAGCAGCAGCGCATGCGGGGGTTGGAAGCTTCTCACTCCACCAGCGCTGCTCTTAAGGTATTTTTTACGAGTGTTTCAGAATTTCTCCTGTGTGTCTGACTTCTCAAGAAGTGACAGGACCTGGCAGAGGCTGCGGGCAGGGGAAGCTCTGACTGCAAAACTTTTTGGTCCCGCCTTCAGGTTCAGCCCCGCCCTCCGGACCGCCTCTAACCACGCTCCGCTCCAATGCTCCCGGGGTTCGCCCCGCCCCACCCCTCAGCGAAGCCACGCCCCCCGCCGGCCTCTGCCGCAGGCCCCACCGGATAGTTGTGCGCATGCTCGTTCGGCGACTGTACTCTAGACTCTGGGGCTGCAAACAAAACTTCTCCAGGGCCATGTCGCGATCTAGTCAGTTCCAGGAGCCAGACAGGTAAAGCCTTCCCGGCCCGTGACACCCAAGGCAGCCGAGCCCGGCTTCCATCGCAGCGGGGGCCGCCGAGGCCTTTTAGCCGGGGCTGAGCCTGCTCGGGCGCTGACCTCTGAGCAGCCCGCGGATCTTTCCATCCTGAATGCCCTCGGTGGGTGGGGAGTGGCTGCTTCCCCTGGGGCCTCGGGACTGCACCTCTGTAACCTCCCCGAGCTCGGACGTTAGTGATGATCACCCGCCTGGCTGTTCAGTGAGAAAAAGATTTCGATGGAGATGATTATTCCAAGGGCCAGCCTCACAGTGGACAGACAGGATTTTGCACTTTTCCTCCTGCTGGTTCCTCTGGTCAGTCTTGGGGTTTGGGGGAACTTTCCCTATAGCAGCCACCCTAGATAGGGTGCGTACCCGTGCTGGGCCTGCCAGTGTGCTCTGGACAAGACTTGGTGCACACCGGAGGCTCTCTGTATCTAACTCTTTTTAAGACGTGATCCTTTTTGAAATTCACTGCTGTTCACTTTTGAACCGGCCTTGGCGGTGGGAAACTTGTGATCTTTGCAACACAGCCTCTGGCAGAACCATTAAGAAAACCAAGGTATTCGTCTTCTAGAGCCGCGGGAACAAAGTCCCACAAACAAGGTGGCTTAAAACCACAGAAACTTATTCTTTCGTGGTTCTGAGGGCCAGATCTGAAATCAGGATTTCGGCAGGGTTGTATTCCCTCTGAAATCGCTAATGAATGTCGCTTTTGCCTCTTCCTGAGCTATCTCAATGCCACTTCTGTCTCCTCAGGCCTTCTTCCCACAAACTCATCCTCTTGTTTCTCTTCTCTTCCCCTAAGTCACTGAAACGAGGCTTACCTTCAAACCAGGTGCTTTCACCTCACGATCTGTAACTGGTTACATCCACAGATACACTGTTTCTGAACGAAGTCATTTTCCGAGGTTCCAAGGTATTTGGTTCCGAGGTATTTGGAGCAAACACTGCTCAACTCACCACACGAACCAGCAGCAAAATACATCTGCTGAAAGGTTCTAAACAAATCCAAATGAGAAGAGCACCACTTGTGATTGTGAATCTCAATCCTTGCTTCATGGCAGAGAACAGCTCTCCACATACACTCCCATGTCCTCAGCCTCAGCAGCACCGTTGCTTGGCGCTTGGTAAAGTGCCCATCCTCAGGCCTCACCTTAAAGTTCCTGTGTCACATATAGGAGGAAGCCCCGCCGTTGGTTGTAAACAGCTCTCCAGGGGCTGCTTGAATCTGGGAACTAGGGTCAGAAGACCTAAGTGTTTGGTCACAGTATGTAAAGGTCAGATTAAGAAAAAATGAGCTAGGGCCGAGGATTTAGCCTAGTGGCATACACGCCTGCCTGGCAAGGTGTGAGGTCATGAGTTCGATCTCCGGTACCAAAAAGAAAAGAAAAAAAAAAAAAAAAAAACCAAGCTAATCTTCAGAAATTTTTCAGCAAACCTGCCTTGCCTCGATGCAATTATGGATTTCAGAGTTCAATTGTGGATCTCAGCATCACACATGTCAGATCCCACCCATGACCGCATCAGGCTTTAAGGGGACATCTAGACACAAGCCATAACAGGGGTTAATGGCAAGGTGTCTTTTTACTGTAATGATTTCTAAAATTTTGATGTTCACCATACTTTGCTCATAGCTCCTCCTATACTACATTTAGTAGTTTGGGGTCTTTTCAAGACCGTCCACAGCCAACACATTGAAGTGTTATTGTTTCTGCCATGCTATTCACAGATCCGCTGAGGCTCACACGTGGTGAACACCAAGATGCAGAAAAAGCAGAAATACAAGCAGGACTAGAAGTTGTTTTTTGTTGGTTTTTTTTGGGGGGCGGTTGTTTGTTTGTTTGCTATAACTCTGATTATTCAAATGTTTGGTTGGTTTGCATTTTAGAAACAACCTGACAGATGAGGCAAAGGCCCGCCTGAAGAAGTTCAATGTTGGTGCCAAATATTCATACTTGTCCAGTCACAAGTACTCAGTCCTGGTACCGCTGATGGCTCGAGGAGGAAAACTCCACCTGCTCTTCACTGTCCGGTCTGAGAAGGTAGGTGAAGGAGGCTCTCGACACCATCTCTGGGGCGTTTGAAGATCTAATGAGACCTTGTTGCTTGCATACGGTTTGAGACCACGGCTCTCAAATGGTTCTACAGAATCATGGTGCTGCAGGGGTTCAAGGGTCAATCTGGGTGACATGGCCTTTTTTGGAGAAGTTTCAGAATGAAGATAAGGAATTTAACTCACCAGTAATTCATAATACTGTTAGGCCAGGATCACTTAATCTTGGTGCTGTGATGTTGTAGGCTGTTTGTCGAGCTGTTCTGTGCACCATGGATGTTTAGTGTGACCCTCGGCCTCTACATGCTAGATGCCAATGGTGTACATACACACTCTTGTGCCAACCCCAGATGACTCCAGTCATTGCCTGCTATCCTGGAAGGATGGGGCCGGGTAAAATTTCTGCCTGAGGAATAAAGTGAAATTACAGGTGAATAGACTGAGCTCAGAATCCTGCTGCCTGTGTTGAATGAGCCTCTCTTCCTGCTGGCTGTGTGACTTGGTCCTGGTTACACACCTTCTCTGTGGTTTAGTCTCCCCACTTGTAAAAGCTGCTTCATAGGGCTGCTGTGGGGAGTTCTTAAAAGGACATAAGTAAAGCATGTGAAACAGCCGTGGCATTTGGCACAGCTCCATAGCATCCGATGTCTTCAGAGTATCAAGTGGCAGGCCGGACTGAAGTTTCCAGATGAGCAGTTTCACGTTAGCCCAATACCCTGTTAGGCTTGAGGTTCCACCCACTCCTACGCTATCACCCCTGGGTGCTGTCCTCTTCCTTGCTGCTGGGGAAAGAGGTCATTTCAGAGTTATCCTGGTGCAAAAAGAAATGGGGCACAGACCTGCGATCCCAGCACCCTGGGAGGCAGAAGCAGGAAGTTTGAAAATTCAAACACAGCAATGTAGCCACTGAGCTAGAACACGTGCCAATAAGTAAATGAATAAACACCAACAGGACTGGGGATGCAGCTCAGTGGGGAAGCCCTGAGTGTAAACCTCAGTACAAAGAAAGAGCAAGGAAAGGAAGGAGGGAGCAGGGAGGAGGAAAAGGAAGGGAGGATGCCAGGCTCCATCATTGCCTGGTCTGTGAAGCAGAATGATGAGAAGAACCTTGTTATGAACAACAAAAACAAAAGTCAGATGGGCGCAAGAGTGGACTCGCATCGATTCTTTGTGCCAGGGACCAGGTTGACACTAACGCTCAGGATAGCGGGTGCCCAGGTGCCCAGGGCTGACACCCAGCTGGGAACCAGGGGCCCAGGGGCCTGGGCCGAAGCACAGGCAAAGCCCAGAAACACAGCTTTTGATTCTTTAGACAAACAGTAAAGCAGGAAGTCTGTGCGGCTCCAAACCCTCCAGCCCGGGGTCTCTGAGTCCTGCTTCACCCAGGGTGACTTCGTCTGCTGATTATTAAGGGAGGGAGCAGAAATTCCCTCAGGGGGCTGTGCTGGAGCCATCAAGCATCTGGGAACCTCCAGAGATTGACTTCCTCCTCAAGGAAGGGAAGGTCACCTGTATACCCTATTGGATTTGTGCTCCCCCACATTTTATTTTGGTTGTTTTGCAACAAAGTCTTCTATGTAGTCCCCTTGAATTTGCTGGGTTCAGACTCCTGCCTCAGCCTCCAGAGGATTGCAGGTGTTCACTGCCTCATACAGCTGGGAGCAAAATTCTTTTTTGCCCAGATGGGTCTAAAAGCTGCCCTGGTGTTGGGAGCCTCGGGGAGCACAGACAGCTGCAGAGTGCTGGGAGAGCGCTGGCATAGCTGCGGGTAGCTGGCGACTCTGGCCGCCTGGCTCTTCATTCTCACCTTGTCGGGGCCCACCAGGGTTCACGATCTTGGTGCTAGAGCCTGTGACCCCCTTCCCTTCGCACCTCTGTGCCCACACTGGCACACTGGCACAGCCACCTTCTCTGTGGTTTTCAGGAGTCAGTTGCTCTGCTCCCATGTCTCCCCTGAACCCACACGTTTCCCCCTTCCCTGTCTAGTCTCCCCTTTCCTGCTGCCCCCACTGTTTCCCTTCTGCCCTGATCTCTGTGGCTTGACATAGACAAGGGAAAGTTTAAAAGCAGGACACAAAGTGAAGTCCTACAAACTGAGACCGTAAGCTTAGCTTCTTGAAGAGAAGTGCATTAAGTTTATAATGGTGTCGGTGTGTACATCAGTAATCACAGCCCTCTGAGAGGCTGAGACAGGAGGATGGCAAGTTCAAATCCAGCCTGGGCAGCTTAGCAATTTAGCAAGACCTTGCCTTAAAAAAATTTAAAAAAAAAAAAAAGGAAGGGCTGGGGATGTAGCTGAATGCAGAGGCCCTAGATTCAACCCCAGTAATTATGCAAAGAAATAAATTATCAGTTTCTGTAATTAGAGTCTTTTTTGACACTGACAGTTTGTAAAGATTCAGTTTCACAAAAGCATCTTTTAGATCAAAACAGTGCAACATTTCCTTAAAAGCAGCCTTTTCCTGACTTTTCCTCCTGATCTTTTTTTCCTATTAATTGGAATAGACATAAACTGGCCTTGAACTTGCTAGGCAGCCCTGGCTGGCATCAACTCATAGCAATTCTCCTGCCTCAGCCTTCTCAGTGCTGGTAATACAGGCATGTACAACCATGCCCAGGTTGCAACATACATTTTTAATTAGGTCCTTATAAAAGAAAAAGAAATGAGTCCTGGAGATGATATAGTCAGATCTTATTTGCTGTAAGTTTGCCACAAACTTTTTGGTGTATTAATGGACTTTAGTGACCGTTATAAATTTTAATTTGGGCACCAGCATCATTTTATGAGTATAAATGTTGTAATGCAAAGCTTCGCCTTTGCTTTTAGAATAGTTATTGATTATTGTAGATGCTTGTATTACTACTGCGTTGAAGTTGAATGTGCTAACAATAAAATACTTTTTTTTTAGAGAGTGACATCAAGAGTAATTCTATTTTTTCTTTCTTTCATCTTTGCTCAGTATTGGGAATTAGACTCAGGGATTAACACTGAGCTATAGCCCCAGAACCACCCTCTTTTATTATTATTATTATTTTTTTTTTAATTTTGAGAGATTCTCATTAAGCTCCTAAATTGTCCATCTGGTCTCGAACTTGCAATCCTGCCTCATTGCAGGTCTGCACCACAAGGCCAGGGAGTAGGTCTGTTTCGTATTCATTTTGAGAAACACACTTGCAGAAGGTGGAGAGGATTCATGACCTGGAAACAGATCCATCCATCAGCCTTCCACACCCTGTTCTCTTTACATTGCTGATATACTATGGTAGCAATTCCTGCATGCTCTTGACTTATCAGCAGAGAGGAACTTTAAGATTTTAAAAAAAATCTTTTCCAGGGCTAGGGTGTAGACGACTTATGTGGCATGTATGAGGCATACCAGCACCATAAAGATGGAACAGAACAAAGAATGCTTACCCAAGTAGATGAAATGAAAAAAAAATAAATTCTAGCATTATCTTAGGTTTTCAAACTGCTGCCACAAAATACAGCTTATAAATAACAAATATATTTCTCATGGTTGTGGAGGCTGAGAAATCAAAGATCAAGACATTCAGAGATTCAGCTTCTAGTGAAGTCTTCTTTCCTTATTCAAAGATGAATCATTTCTCACTGTATCGTTACAGAGTGGAAGGGATCAAGGGTCTCTCTTAGTCCCCTTTTATTAGGGCTCTGCCCCATGACCTAGTCAACTCCTGTTGTGACTTATATCTAGATGTCACCCCAAAGCCTGATATGCTCAGACCTGGTGCTTTTTGGAGCTGGCTAGATCTAGGAGGTGTGACATGGGAATTAAGGGTGTGTGGTGCTAAATTAGCCCATTGTTTGGTTTAGCATAGTTCTTGGTGTGGATAATGGGAAGGCCCACATTAAGTGTGAGTGGTACAGCCCGAAAGACTTCTAGCCTGGATGGGATGAGAGGGAAAGGGAGGCTTGCCTTACTGCTTCGCTGCTTCCTGTGTGCTCTGCCATGGACTGTTTTCCCTCTGCCATGCCACCGTGCCTTGGAGCCAGCCAAATATGGACTGAAACCTCTAAGAAAACTTTCCTCCTTTAATTTGTGGGTGTCAGGTATTTTGTCTGAGCCACAAGGAAAGTAAGACAACCCGGGATCCTAGCTCTTAAAATCAACACCTTGGTGGTGTGGATTTTAATATACAAATTTGGCACATACACATTGCAAGATCTTCGAGTCTTGCTGAGCGGAGATTTCAGTGGAAAGCACAGTGGGTACTGACCAGGGGTGAACACAAAAGGAATCAGGGCCAGTGTGCTGAGAAGTTAGGTTTGGTTTTGTGAGAAGTTAGGGATTGTGCCTTTGTACATCTGCTCAGGATAAGACAAAAGAGAAATCATTTTAGAAACAGAGTTAAGGCAAGGAAAAATATTTAAGAATCTCCTAACATTCTCGTAAAGTTGAGAAGAAGTGGTCCAGGCATATTGGTAGAAAAGAGAAACCCTTGTGTCTGTGTTCACAAAGATACATGAAGATGCTGACACTGGTCAATACTGTGGCTCCAATGACCATATTTTTGTGGTTTAATCAGCTCTTAATATGTGGTGTGCTGGTTAAGAAGGTGTGCTTTGGAATTAAACCCTAATTTATATTCCAACTCACTATGTGGTCTTTGTGAGGCTGTTTAGACTATTTGGGCCCTAGATCCCTTATCTGACCCTTGTCTGAAAGTGGAAATGATAATAGCATAATAGTAGTTGGTATGTGTATCAGTGAATGGATGGGTGAAAAAATTGTGATATACGTGAGCATCAGAATCCTCTTCAGCCATAAGAGGGATGAAGCACAGCCTGGAACCACTTCCAAAATACTGTGCTGCAGGAGAGACACAAGAGGTGACATCATACCTACGATCTCATTGATGGTATATTAAATGTCCAACTTAGGAAAATGCATAGAAACAGAAAGTAAGGGGTGGCAGGATGGTTATAATCAATTTCTTAGAAGATACAGGGTATCCCTTTTGGGTGATGGGATTTTCTGGAACTAGATAGCAGGGGTGGTTGTACCACACTGAATGTATGAAATGTCACTGAATTGTTCACTTTAAAATGGTTAATTTTATGTGAATTTCATCTCATAAAATAAAATACTTTTAAAAAGAGTAGATTATAGGTCTTTGCCGAAGACTCAGAAAAAATTCCTTATGAAACAGTGTTCCTAGTCACAGTAAGTACTCAATAAAAGGCTCAACAAAATGATCTATTTGAAATATTACCATTTATATGTCCTTTATTTTACTTTTATTTCCCCTGTCAAAGTTAATTTGTTGGTGAATGTATAGAACCTCCTGGGAACACACAGAAAAGTTGGGAGTGGGGAAATTCTCAAAGCTTACTTTCAAGAAATGAATCAAGGGAAAAGCCTTTTCATTGCTTAAAAAATTTTACAGTACTAAGGCTTGAACCCCAGACCTTGCACAGGCTTCCCAGGCTTGAAACCAAGACCTTTGCACTATTGAGCTAAATCCCCAGTCCTCTTTTTAAATTTTATTTTGAAACAAGGTCTCTAAATTGCTCGGGGTACAACCAAGCTTGTAATAGTCCTGCTTCAGTCCCTGAGTAGCTGGGATTACAGGTGAGCATCATTCTAAAAACATCATGTCTTGTTTACCACCTGGGGTAAGGTTGATCTCTGGCACACACAACAACAGTACAGTGTTTGTTGAAGGAATAAATGGTTCAAAATTCATAATCACACATTACTTCTCTGTTCTCTCGATGTCCAGCTGAGAAGGGCACCTGGAGAAGTTTGCTTCCCTGGAGGGAAGAGGGAACCCACAGACGTGGATGACGTGGCCACTGCACTGCGGGAAGCCCAGGAAGAAGTGGGGCTAGATCCCCATCAAGTGGAGGTCGTGTGTCGCCTGGTGCCGGTACTGGATGAAGTGAGTTTCCATAGACTCGCAGGAGCCATCATGCGACTGCTGTTTTCAGGATTTCACAACTCTCCAAACGTAGCCCCAAAGTATCCTGCACATAAAGCCAAGAAACTGGGCCCTTGCGTGGCCTCTGGCCCTCATGAGCTCAGAGCCCCCTGGTCAAAGCCCTCTTTCACCATTCAGAAAGAAGAAGATTGAACTAGGTCATTGAGTTTCAGACTAGGCACCACAGAACCTAAAGATGCTTCCAGTTTATTTCAGTAACATTCAATTTACATTTACTTTTCTCCACTGTATATTTATTTTGAGAATTAAAACACATTTTAGTGCATTATCCCTTTGGAGGGAGCCAATGCATTACCTTTACCCTATGATACCATATTGTAGACTACAGCTGCCCCATAGCACAGTAACTAAGTAATACCTTGAGATCGCTAGGCAAGCTGTTTAAGAACTGTTACTATTCATAACTGCATTCCTATTTCCTTTATAATAGAAACCAAACAGCATCCAAAAACACAAATGAATTCAGGGGCTAATATTGCCAGCCTTTAATTTGCCCTGAGTTCACCACCATAACTTCATTTTGTACCAGTGGACTTTTAAAAAAGCAGCATGATGTTATTAAAATAAATGTTGTAGCAGGAACCGTTAGTTGCACTGTTAGAATAGTTTAAATTTATAGAAAAGTTGCAATGATAGCACGGAGAGTTTTTACATCCCCTGGGTACAGAGTCCCTGTGGATGACAACTTTCGATCACTGGTACATTGGTCACAACCAACAAACAAATGCTGGTCCATTATTTTTAAGTAAAATTTATACTTTATTGTCTTCTACAAGCATTTCTAGTATGACCTCCTTTTCTGTTCTGGATCTCATCTAAGACACTGTATTGCATTTGGTCATCTTGTCTTCTTAGTCCTCTAGTCTGTGACAGTTTCCTGGACTTCACTTATTCTCATGATACTGAACATTTTGAGCTGCATTCAGGTGTTCTGTAGAATGTTACTTACTTTGGGGTTGTCTGGTATTTTTGTCGTGGTCAAATGCAACAAAGGAGAAGTATCCTCATCGCATAATAACGAGGGTATAAACTTTTTTTTATATTTAATGTATTGAAGCTTGGGGTAAATTTTTATTTCAAAAGAATAGTCCTACCAATGCCTAACAATAGAAAACTAGTCTCCCATTTGTTCAAAGTCTTGGTGGTACAAAGTCATTGTTATGGTTTATATCTAGATGTCCCCCCCAAAGCCTCATATGCTTAAAAGTAGGGCTATTGGGAGGTAATTGGGTCATGGGAGTGTGATACTCACCAGTGGACTAATGCACTAATGAGTTTATAGTTAACCTCTACAAACTGTGGGCCAAAATAAACCTTAGAGTTGTGTATCAGGTATTGTGACTCAGCAATGAGAAAATAACTAATGTAGTTATAAAGATCAATAATGCTGAGATATCTGTGCTAATTGAGCCCAATTTAACATAGAAAGATCATCACTGTCTTAGTTACTTTTTACTTGTCAGTGAGACAAAATACCTGATGCACCAAGTTGGGAAAGGAAAGGTTTATTTCTTACAGTTTTTGGAGATTTCAGTCCACACTCAGTTGACTCCAAGGCAGGTGGCATGGCAGGCCGCAGTTCATGGCGGCTGCAAACAGCAAGGCAGAAACTGGCAAGAGAGCGACACACCTTCTTCCTGCCATTACATCACATCCTGGCTCCACCCCTAGGCTGGTGTAGCACTCACACCCCCAATCTAAGCTCTAGACAATGAACCAATCATAAATGCATAATGCAAACCCATGAGGCCTGGGAGCCACAGACTTAAACCATGACAATCACTCAGGGGAAATTGAGCTTAGGAGAATCTGTGGCCACTCAGTAAATGCTTACAGTGTGTGTGTGTGTGTGTGTGTGTGTGTGTGTGTGTGTGTGTGTGTGACAGAGAGACAGACAGGTGGAATTAGACAAAAAAATGTCAAGTACTTCTTTTTCCATTGTGTATCCTAATGACAGCTCTTTTAGATTTTGCAAATCTAAAATTTTGCAGCATATTTTGGGGATCTACTTTGTTTCTGTTTTTGGTCCCAGTGATCAAACTTACAACTTCGTGCTTGCCAGGCAGGCACTTATGCCACTGAGCTAAATCCCTGGCCCATGGGGATCTATTTTGGAACTTTATGACACACTGAGCTGTAAAGGTTAAAAGTTCCCAAAGTGTGACTATTTTGACACCCAGGGTTTCAGGAGCTACTGAGTCCTGCGCGTAAGTAGGAATACAGCAATACTCACAGGCCGTGTCAGCTTTCCCTAACTGTAACAAAAACCTGAGATAATCAGTCAGGATGAGAAAAGGTTTATTTTGGCTCTCAGCTTTGGAAATTTCAGTACAAGGCCCATTGGCCACGGTGCTTCTGGGCAGTGGTGAAGCGGCACATAGTAGTTGGAGTGTGCAGTGGAGCAGGGTGCTCATAGTGTGAAAACAGGGAACTGGAGACAGGAAGAGTGAAGAGACTGAGCTCCCACAATCCCCTTCAAGGGCGCAGTCCAGTGACCTCACTTCCTCCCACTAGGCCCCACCTTTTAAAGGTTCCAACACCTCCCGTAATACAAACAGCTGGGGACAAAATCTTTAACTTGTGGACCTTTCAGAGACTTTTCAGATCCAAACTGTAGCACAAGATGATGTTGAGAATTCAGGAGATTTTTGTGGGCCAGATATTCCTGGGGCAGGAGATTTCTCAAATGACATTATCTTGAAATTGGAGGGAACAAGTGTTCTAAGGCAGACACACAGACCTTCAAAACGCAAGGCAGTGTTGTTTTGTTTTTTGAGATGTATTAATCAAACACCAATCACTGATCCCTAACACACATAATCTAATTCACTGTTTCTTAGCCTAGCGCTAGTTTACTCTCCAGGGAACATTTGGTGATGTCTGGGGATGTTCCGGGGTGTCACAGCTGGGGGAGGTGCTGTTGGCTCTTACCCCACCTCCTACGGGAACCCTCCCAGGCCAACTCTGGCCCCCTTTGCCCCACCCTGGAGAACTGTGTGACCTCAGAGAATGTTTACCCCATGCCAGGCCTGGTGTGGGGCCATCTGGTGACTTATGACCTCAGATTTCCTGCCCGCGGGATGTCTGCTGTGTATTCTCACTGTCCTTTCCCAGTCCACGTGGCGACTTTATCATTAACACAGTTAACACTCAGAGCTGTCCTGTTCTTACGGTGACCTCAGCAAAGCCCTTCTTCCTCAGAAAATGGCCTGCAGGTGTGCGTCAAGCTCCCTAGAGGTCTGCACCTCACGAGCACCTGCCTGTAGTTGTTTGTACTTTCTTTCTGGGGAGGCCCAGGAACTCAGAATTTGTCCCCGTTTCTCATTGGAGGTTGCCCTCCTCCTGCTCACATTCAGCAGTGACTTTGACTCAGTCAGCCCAGGCCTCTCTCTGGAGATTCCCAGTAGAACAAAGGGGTCTGTAATCTAACAGAACCCCAAATCATTTGCAAGTATTTGTGGTTGTAAATGGAAATTTCGCCCCTATAAATGTGTATTTTATGAAAAATAGTTTATGTAAAATTATATGTATATGGCATATGATTTTGTATATATATATATATATATATATATACATATATATATTTATTTACCATAAGTGGAAGTATGTCATAACTACTATTTTGTCACCTTTCTGTTTATAAGAAGCACATCTTTGTCTTTACCAAGAGGAAAAGGTCTCTACTGCATGTTTTTAAGGGTTGCATGGTATTCTTGTATATGGTTATAACCATGATTTGTCTAATCTAAATACCCACCAGTTCGACTGTGACAAGTTTAGTTTGGAGCTCCTGCAAATCATGCTTCCACATGGTACAAGTAGCTTTTCTATTTGAAAAAATTTTTGATACAACTGCACTCATAAAAATGCAATTCCTAGCCCAAAAGGATTCTGTTTCTATAATACTGCCACATAGCTACTCCAAATGCTTGTGTCAGTCTATGCTCACAACAGATCATCATTCTCAGAGTCCCCTGCTGGAGGCCACCTCATGTGGGATGGGTGCTACCCTGTTACGTGGGGAATACAAGATTGCTCTGGAAAGGGATCCTTCCTCTGTCACTCCCTGCCTTCTATAATGGACCAGTTTGGTTTTTCACCTTATCTTCCAGACAACTGGCAAGATTTTAATACTTGAAACAGTGTCACTATGCTTCTTAACTCTTGTGTTTTGTTTTCTGCTTTTTAGAAAAAAAACCTGATTACCCCAGTGGTGGGTTTCATAGACCACGACTTTCAGGCGCAGCCGAATCCTGATGAAGTTAAGGATGTGTTCCTTGTGCCTCTGGACTATTTTCTGTCTCCACGTGTCTACTCCTCTTACTGCCTCACTCACTCTGGCCACATTTTCCTCATGCACTGCTTCGGGTACACAGGCCCCGAAGATGGTGTGACTTACTTAATCCGGGGAATGACCGCACGATTTGCTATACTGGTTGCCTTGATGATTTTGGAACAGAAACCCACCTTTGAGGTTCAGTTTAATCTCAATGATCTAACATCATCTTGTGAGAAACACCTGTTTCTTTACCATGCTACAAGAAAGTTATGATTTGTGAGAATCAAATCCAAAAATCCGCCCAGGAGGGTTCTGTATGTGGGTGTGCACTGAACAACAGTGCTTGCTGCTATTGAAAATTGACAGGTGTGAATATTTTTCCTGCCATCCGAAAGCACAAACCTTGCCTTTTTCTCCTGTTACTTTGTATTATTTCAAAGAACAACAAAGGGAGAAAATACACTAATAGTGTTGTCTAATTTTACCCACAGTATGTTAAAATTTTTCTTACACATTTAAGAAAAAGTATCTGGCACATTAAACACTTAATAAAATACTTTGATATATATTATGACCATGTGGCATTTATCTTATATGTCTGTTGTTCCACGTGACAGAAGCTTCTAGCCACCTATCCAGATCTACCCTCCATGACAGTAGGACCCTTGCCATTAAATGGGTCTCAGGGATTTAGTTTTGGCCAAATATGGTACAGGCGAGTTGACCTTGCAACTCACCTTCAGTTTAAGAAGTGAGTCACCTGCCTTGGAATCTGAGTCTTTCTATCAGTAACACAATGGTGCTTGTGTGTATCTAGGCTGGTCCATATGGATGAGAACAATTCCTGTAGGAATGGAAGAACTAAAAGATGGTCAGAGTTTGGATCTCTGAATCCTCTGGAGCATAGCAGTCCTCCAACCTGGGCTGTTCTTTGGGGCCCAGGAGGGCAGAGTCCAACTGTCATCTCTGTGTCCCTGAAATGTAGAGCCCCTTAGTTGCAATATTGCTGTTAACCCTAAATATCATAAAACTTGAAAATGGTTAGATGGCAATTCACACAAGCTCAAGATGTTGCAGACAGTTAGAATCTGGCATCTCAACTCTGGCTTTTACCATGCAGTGTCTGTGACATATACAGGATGCCCTTGGGAGGTGGCAAGCGTTAACCCAAGCAACTAGAACTGAGGTTAAAAACTAATACAAATGCAAGCCCCAAACTGGAAGTCAAAAACATAAATATGCACATGGCTTAAGATCTATCACTTATGTGGGTATCTCCATAGAGACGAGGGATTTCTTTAATTATGACAACCATGCTGCACGTGGTCAGAGAGGCCTGTAAAGAAAGCAACATCACTACATCTCTGTGATGGCAATGTCACATCTTCCTGAGTATTACTTGGTTTTTAGAAACCCAAACCATTTTTTAATAAGACTCTGCTGTGGCTGAAGATTCGTTGCCAAGTGAAACCCATCAATCTGCCATGTAAGTGACCACTGCTGCAGAGACTTTATTTTCTGGACTTTGGCAGAGGCAACTACCTGATCTGCTGCTTTAGACCCATAAATGTTTAAATGGCACAAATCTGGTTCCTACCATGAAAACAGATGTTGGGTAAGCGTCCCCATTAGCGTTCTGTAAGTAGCCCTGCATGAGCAGGCCTAAACTGTTTCTGAACAATTACAGAAACATTTGCAAATGTGTATTTACAATCTGAAGGCAGTATAATTGCTGGGTAGATGCTGACCTCTGTGGGTAGAGAAAGTGGTCCTTCCGGGCAACATGTTTGTTTATGCAAATGGCACAAACTTGCCTGGTTTCTGAGAGGAGCTGACCCAGCTGAAGCCTACAGTCAGTGATACTCAGAACATCCAATTTAGGGTACAGGGTACTCAGTGAGGAAGTACTGAGTACCCTGTACCTATGTCTCCTTTCTTTTAGTTGTGTAATTTATGGTATCTATGTTCAGGGCTCTAATTAAACATCAAATCTGGGTCAAATACAAGGGGAAGTTATTGGCAAGGTACAGGTCCCAGGGATTCTACAAACCCCCTGAACAAATCAGCCTCGGGAAAGACAGCAGTGGGAACCATGCAGCTAACCACCTCAAAACCAAAAGCCTATGAACCTGCTGCCATAACTGTAACAAAAACCATCTGTTAAACCTGACTGATGAGAAGGAAAAGCAACAGGAATCTGTCTCAGTCCTCAAGTCCTTGGAGAAGGCAGCATCAGGCCAATCTTGGGTCACTGGCAAGTTTCCAGCAACTTGTAATTACGTTCAAGAGCAAGGGTCAGCAGGGCGGCTCTGACCACTTACCTCAGGTACTCCCCAGATCCCCTTTGCCGGTGAAATCTCCCAGCCAGACAGCTCAGCTCTCATCAGCAACCTCCGATTAGTAACAAAGCAGTTAAGAGCCGCACATCTGAAATCTGGATGCTGAGCTCTAGCGTCACTCACTCAGTGACCTCAGCAAGGTCCCATTCTTGTAGCGATAAATTTCCTGCCTTAGGCTTTCAGGAGATGCAATGAATTGGTTTGGTGTGATCCTTCTACTTAAAGCCCTTCAAAATGCTCAGTACCAGGGAAATGGTAAGTGCTCAAATTTCCTGTTAACTTTTAATTATAGTATTAGTGTAATGATAGCATTATAGCCCAATGATGATAATAAATACTTCTATTTCCCTTTACAAAGCTTCATCAGTTTTCTATAGTAGTGGTCCCAGAATTTTATCAGTCCACACAGCTCTGTATATCTCAGTAATCTTGTAAGTAATGTGTAGATCAAACAAGATGCCCCTAATTTTGCTTATGACATGGTTAGGTCCAGCAACTGAATAGGTATTTATGTCTAATTTGTTCACTACTTGAAAATATAATCTATCTACTATCTACTATTTTTCTTTCAGTGTTAACCACAATTGCTCCCTAATGGAATGTGTCCCTGTTGGGTGCACAGGTAAATAAAAGATTCAAATAAATGTAGTCATATGGAAGGGAGAAGCCCCCCAAAGATAAGGAAGACACTCAGATTTGGGACTCAGGGGCAATGTCATATGAAAGTAGTGACTTGTGCCAACGCTAATGGAGAAGGAGATGCTGCCTAGAGGGGGAGGACAGCGGTCTTGTTGGCAGAAGCTACATTTATTAAGCACCAACCACATGCCCAGTTCTTCATTTTGCTTAATTCATTTAATTCTTACTCCCATTCTCTGTAATGGGCACTGTTAAGGATTCCTGGAAAACCAGAAGGTCAGATATTGTTCTCAAGTATTAGCCCAGGCTGAAGTCTATAACCCCAGTTAGGATGGTGGATACTTAGTTCCTCCTTTCTTTTTACTAATGGAGGTCATGACAGAATTTGTGACCACACAGTATGTAAATGTCAGAGCCAACACCCATACCCGCCTCTGATCAGTCGCAGAGCCTGTACTTAACCTCAAGATGAAGCTAGAATGGAAGGTTAAATGTGCATTTCTCTCAAATCGCCACATGCAGAAGCAATGCAGTTTCTAAAGTAGAGGGAGTACAGAGTTTATTTTTGCCTTAATCATGTCCCCCAGCTTATCTGGCTGGCAGCGCACATGGGGAAGTGAGTAATTAGCTAGGTTGACTTTAATTAAAATAGAACATACTAATTAATAAGAAAAAGTGCTGGCATACTTGGTAATTTAACAATTCATTCATGGCACCAGATTTCCAGCTGAAGAACTAAGGTAAGAAAACATTTCTCCAGTGCTTAGACAAGATGATTTAAGTTTAATTCCAGCTGTTTTTCTCTTTTTTTTCATTCCCAGTTGGTTTCTTGAGAACAACACAAAAAATTGATGAAGTCAGTGGAGTGATCATTGCCCAGTCCAGTTGTTTTGCTGTGGCTTGCTCAGAACCCTAATGTATAGTCAGTCTAGAACTCCTCATTGCCTCTCATCCACAGCCAGTTACCCCCTTGACCATCTCATTGTCCACCATGCTCAGATTTTGCAGGCTGATCTATACAGGCACACTTTTCCACTGCCACCCTTCATTGCACTAATTTATATATATGCTTAATACATGTGTAAGATCTTTGTGTTAATTCCAGCTCTGATTTTGGAAGGGACAGATCAGCACACCATGAGACCACCTAGTCTAACCTCTGGCCCTGGCGAATAGACGAGGGTTCAACAGCTGACCCAACAATGGCTCCTAGATTGGTGGCCAGTCTTCAATGAGTTGTTTAATCAATTGAATAGTTAACCTAAATCTATTTATTAGATTTTCTAGAGACTTTGAACTACGCTAGAAGATAGTACACGCTTGGCAAATATTTTGGAGTGAGCCCAAAAAGTCAGAGTTTAAAGGTTGGTTGGCTAGTAATTGGTGTAAGTGTGCCTTTGCTCAGAGCAGTAGTTGCCATGTCAGTAATCCTGCTAGACACAACTAGAAAGGTAAGAAATATTAAAGCAGCTTGAAGTTCCTTTTCTAAGGTCTTATACTCATGTATAAATTTTTATTTTAAAAGTGTAGACTTGATCTGGTATTTCCTTGCCTCTTCCTTTTACATCTTGAAACTTTTATGCTCTACTTGACCATGGCTGTCAGTAGCGTCTCCCAGTCCTTTGTCTTTTCCCTTATGGTCAGTGTGAAATTTAAGTTCTCCTTCTGATTATTTTCTTCTACTAAATGAACACACATGTGTTTCTTTACTCAGGGCTCATTTCATTTCCTTCACTGGCCTTACATTTCTTTTGTAAATCTTGTCCATTTTATGGACTCCAAAGCACATCCTCAGAAGTGGCCGATATTTTTTTTTCTGGCTATAAATCTATATGGCCTAATAGCCAGCTAAAAGATAGTTTGAAGACAGTGGAAGCTTTCTGCTAGAACTCTTAACCTGTTGCAAACACAAATCAATCCATCCTTTGATGGATTGAATAATGGCTCCCAAACAATAATCCAAATCCTAACCTCAGTACTTGGGATTGTAAATTTAGGGGGAAACAGAGTGTTGCAGATACAGTAAAGGATCTCGAGATTAGATGATCTGGGATTGAAGGTGGGCACTGAATTCAACGACTGACATCTTTCTAAATGAAAGGAGAGAGAGCCTGAGATTTAGCTTAGTGGCATAAGTGCCTGCCTGGCAAGTGCGAGGTCATGAGTTTGATCCCTGGTATAAAAAAGAAATAGAGAAAGAAGAAAGAGATCGAGACACAGAGACAGTGGGACAGCAGTGTGAAGACAAGCAGCACAGGCAGCGATAATAGTGATGTACTGCAAGCCATCAACGATAGGAGCCACCAGAGGCTGGAGGAGGGGAGACAGGAGCCTTCCCTAGAGCATCTGGAGGAAGTGGAGCCCCACCTATGGCTTCATTACTGGTTCCTGGCTTCCAGAACAGTGAGACAATAAATTCTTATTAGTTTAAGCCACTAAGTTTAAGGCAAATTGCTAAGACAGCCCTAGGAAAGTGCATAGCCCTTCCAAAGCAGCTCTCCCTTTGGATTAATGGCTTTCCCTGTGTCTCAGGTTTAGCATGGAGCCAGCTCACTGTTGCCTGGCCAAGGATTGGCAGTCTAAACTCAAGTAA